CAGGGGACGGGGCAGCCAGTGTCTATGGATGCAGCCAGTGGAGCTCAGGAGGAAGCCCGCATGATTCCCCTCCCCCCCCAGCAAGCAGCTTGCTAGGGGGTACTCAAAGGGGGGAGGAGCAGCGGTGGAGGACCCAAGAAGAGGAGGATTGGGGCTGCAGTGTGCAAAACCATTGCACAGAGCAGGTAAGTATAGCATTTTTGTTATTGAGAAGTAAAATTGAGCCTGTATTATCACTTTAAGAAGAGGCTCTGACAATACTCCTGAAAAATTGTTTGCTCAAAGCCAGCCAGACACCTCTTTACAAGACTGAGGGCTGCCTTTTTTTTCTTTTGCATAAAAATACATGTTTTAATGGAAAAAAAACTGTCTATGTTGCATGATGCTTGCACAGCTGTTTTTTTTGTAACTTTATTGCTATCACAAAGTCGTAAACAAGCCCCCTGTCACAGCTGTGGGCTGTGACAGGTACTCTTTGTAGAGACATCAGGGGTCTTTTAGACCCCTGATGTCTCCTTTGCCCTCCAAGGCCGCTGATCATGTTTAACTTTCCAGTCTGATTGCCAGCTTTAAAAAAACTGTACCAGGATCATGGTTGCAACCATAATGCTGGTAGAACCGCTTGCTGTCCAGGAAGTTTATATGCATATGCTAAACGGAAAGTTGTTAATCTTCTGTAAACTGTAGTAACCCTAATCATTAGTGTTTTTGAATTAGTTTTTACCATCTATAGATCAGCTGCATACACTATTGGGCCAATGTGAGTAGTTATCAGAGACTAACAGGTAAATGTGTAGAAGGGTGCTTTTTCTAGACAGGAAGATATTGATTAGAATTTACGTAGACCCAAACAGAAGTATTTGAATGCATTTGTAAGCAAACAGGAATTTAAAAGGACTATTCCACCACATATGCAAAGAAGAGATTTTGTACTCACCATAAAATCTTTTTCTCCAGTCATTCATTAGGGAACACAATGGTTGGTACTTGTGTCATAATGAATGCTGGAAGAAAATGAGTCACCAGGAAAATTATGGGACTGATGCTTAAAGTGCCAAGTAGATAAATTAAACACTTCATAAATAGGCTTGCAGTGTAACATGCTGATCTATGCTTCTCAGCTCCAAAAGAAGTCACTCTAGGGCCTGGAAAATGATACTAGTTGCTTGCTGCTGAAAGATAAAGCCACTTGCTGGCAATCAACCCATTTGCAGAACACCAATGATCATATCATTCAGTAACAAGTAATTAGAACATCCTGTGTAACGGATACCTTATACTCTGCTGATATCAGCACCTTCACAATGGAGGTCTAATTTAGCTAGGTTTCACTACAGGCACATAGGTTTTCAGGAAGAGAGTGACACCATATGCATAAAAGTGATGGTGGTGGAGGAATAGTGCTTTAGCTTAAGTTATCTTCAAACATTAGTGCATACATCAGTCAAAATAATGTAAAAAGCAGAAATAAATGGGCATTTTCAGGATGAATATAAAATAAAACTCCTGTAGGAGACCCAAGTGATAACGTTCCCCACCTGCACCTACTAGTAAGAAATTGTGGATCTTTGGCAATGCATAAAGTACGTTTTGAGACATAACAGTGGTCACATTCTCAGTTAAAGTGGTGCAGCAAAGGGCACTAGGGCAATTCTATAAGGAGTAACATTTTATTTTAACCTGGAAATCTCCATCAAGTGTTTTTTGCACAAAGGGAGCTGGTTTTCCTAGTAAAGTACTTCATAATCCTTAGCTAATTAACATGTCAGCGTATGATTAAGTATGGATTATAATACTGTCTAGGATAAAACAAAAGCAATCACCAATTTCATTATCACAGTGCAGAGAATCCTTGTCCCAGTTTGAGAAAGAAAAGACAGATTTACTTGTGCATAGGACAAAGTTATAGAAATTATAGAATGATTAATAAACACCATATACCACCCAGGATTAATGTGTACATGATAAAGTTGAGATTTTTCTGTAATTGTCAGCTGTGGATTCCAAAGGAGAAAGCAGTGCTGCTTAATATCTATGTAAGCCATGCATGTATTTGACACCTTTTTTTATCAAGATCTTTATGAACAAATGAGCTCAAGATGATAGAATGACACCCAACACACAAATAAAATATTTTACAGCTACTCAATGAGTTAGTATTCTAAGCCACTACCTTCATATCAATTTCTATGCATAAAACACCATTATGCATCATAGATTAAAATATCGAACAATGCAACATATGTGGTATCAATTAAAAATACACGCCATCAGAAAAGATTATAAATGACCATGTAAACAATCTATATTACAGTTGGTTCTCTGACACATTCTGATTTTTGCATCATCGGTCAGAAGCAATCTGTCACAGCCAATCGACTTACCAGTGTCAAAATTGACTGACAGCTCACTAAACCAATAAAATGAAAGGTCTGTGGTTTACAATTTCCATAGTTTTAGTTGCATTGAATCATATTGATATGTGCATGGTCACATTTAACTCATCTGTTTGCAAAAAAAAAACAAACATTTAAAAAAGGCAGTCAGTATGAAGGCATCAAATAGTATAAAGTTTTCTAGAAAAACAAGCAGTGCTGTTTGTATATTTTGTTGTACTAATTCAATAAATGTTTCCGATAAAGATTTCTAGAAAAGCTTGAAAAACATATCACTAGTCAGAATGATTTTTCATTACAGGAGAAAGTGTGGCTTAGGATAATGACTCAAGTAGCAATGTTTTAAGCTAATTAAGGCACCAAACAAAATTGTTCATAGTAGGTAAAATCCCATCAGAAACCAAGAAGCAAATCAGTAAAAGAAAGATTACATATCCCGCATTCCCAGTTGGCAAAACAAAAACAGCATTTGTAATTTTGCAAAGGATGCATTTATTTATGAAAATGGAGATATCTCATAAGAATGCTAAAAAAATTACAATTTGTTTATAACATGGTCTTTATAAATATTTACTCTTTTGATGCTTTGAGCTACACACAGACACTTAAAATAGAAATATGTATTTTATACTTTGCCATTTATGTTCTAAATATAAAATAAAAGAAATTTGCATATTGCTCCATTTGAAACATACATTAAAAACAAAAAGAACAGAGCTAGCATGAAAATGTTCTCCCATCTTTGGAACACAGTTAATGTGTCTATTTTGTTGTTTGATGCAGTAGTTAGTAGATATCCAACTTTCTGCTAGTTTTTGACTAATGTGGCATTACAAGGCAGGGCAAGGAGATAATCAGCTATTGCCTTTGCAGTAAGTTCAAGTATGTGTTATGGCTAACGGATAGCCATCATGTCTATGAATCGCTCACACAGACAACTGCATTCCATACTACCAAGAATTCTACCACAGCAACAAGCACATTTGGATCACTGGCAAAATGTATGCCTCAATAACACATATATTCATATGGAATCATCAGGGAAAAAAAACTCTTTACTAAAATTATCCTTCTGCCTTGCCTTAGAATTTTTTTATTTTTTTAAGGTAGGAGGGCTTTATATGTAACTCGTTGTACCCAAACCTGCATTACATTAGAATATCTTATTAGTCAAAAAGACTTACATGTATTTTTAATTAATGTAGGAGGGATTTATATTTAACTTTGTACCCAAACCTGCATTACATTATTTTGAACTTAAGCTGAGGTTTTCCTCCCCACGTTCCCCTGCTTCTTATGGTCCATATCTAAAAGACAAGTCACAGCTCAGGTAGTACGGTGCAGGAGCATTAGAGGAGGAAAGTTTAGGTTTGGGAGTTTCAGTTGGTGCACTGTAGATGAATCAGTTTAACAACCCTGACTGGCCTTAAAGCTGGCCATACACTTATCAAAATTCAGGTAGTTCAGCAGGGACTGGCCAAATTTTGATGAGGATGTGGCCATCCCTGCTTGAGAGAAGTCCATCTTTTGACGGACTTCGTTCAAAGGGACCAGTTGGAAAATGTTCCTCAATCAGCTGCAGTCACTGTCTGAATACAATGTCCTAACAGGGATGGGGATGCTCCATCCACCTTGTTTGTGTGGATGGATGAATCTTATTTTTTCTTTTTCGTTCAGCCAACTCTAACCATGTATGGCCAGGTTTAGTCCTCCATCCATACATTTGTCATATCACAAAATGGCTGCCTCAACAGTGTTTGTGAACCAGAGACTTAACTCCTGCTGGGGAATATTCAACACTTTCATAGTGGGAACACTAAGGGATACACATCAAAGGCCTTTACCCCTAAACTGAGTAAAAGTGTATGGCATAATTCAATAGCTTAAGTGTTTTCCAACATTTGAATACCACACTTACCAGAAAGAAATTGGAAATCATTCTTCTGTGTACATAAAATCAGAAATATGTGTGTGAACTGGACAGAGGACATTGCAAGACTGTACAGAAAATGGTGATAGACAAAAGACTTAAACCAACAGATAAACCCAGCATAAATATTTTTGGTAAGCAATTTCTGGGAAGGAAGGCAGTATTAAAAAATAAGCCACCTTCATTTTGGGACATATGCTGAAAAAGACATTTTCTATCATTTAAAAGGCGCATGCCCAAAAGTTCAAATGAAAATCCCAGAAATCAAATGATCACATAAAGAGGTTACCCGATACTGAATTACGTAGACAAGATGCTAGCAAAAGGAAAAAGAGGAAAAAAGCCAGACAAATAAGACATGTACAACAAAGATGCATCATACAAAAATATACAGAAGACATAGGAAATTAAACAAGAGAAAGAAAAGTTCATCAATGCATGTTGATCCATCTTGGTTCTTAATGACCTAGGAGTATTTAAGCCCCGAGAGAGAGAGAGAGAAGTAAAAGAGAGAAATAGAGAGAAAGAAATGGAGAGAGAGAGAGAGAGGCCTTTCTCTTAGTCATCTAAAGCTGCAGGCTCATCGTTTTCCAGTTTATAGGAGAATCGTTGGCAGCAAAGGGTATTTAGAGAAGTTCCACACCTGGCGACCCGTGGAGCTGTGCAGCGGCCCATCACTCGTTCCAGCAGTCTTCTAACAGGCACGCATGCTGTCTCCCCGCTGGTGTAGCAGCACATTGAGTCCAAGCAGTTGATACCTGATCCTGTCTCAGCAAGCTGAGGAGGAGATAGAAATATGACAGCAAGGCATTGTTACAAGTGCATTTACACCATAATCAGAGAAACATTTATGAAATGATGTTTCAGTCGAAAGAGAAAGTTAGAGATGCTGAAGAAAAGAAAAAAATACAACTGACATGTAGAATATGTTAGCATCTTTTAAAATATGTACAGAAATGATTACTAAATCCTTAAACCTACACTGCTGGTAAGAGCACCCATCTGTAAAGTCTGACAGTCATGTATGCTACAGTGCAGTGCACTGTATCATTATCTGAATCCAATGAGGGTTAGATGGTATTTCAAAAGACACATGTATAAACACACAATGAGCCTAATAAAGTACCCATTGCAAATAGTCTTACTTGAGGGATGAGAGGCCCAAACAAATTAACTGTACTCACCACAGTTGTTCACTAACAATTCAGAACAAAGACCCAGCTCAACAAACAATTTTTTACATACAAAGGTTAAGCATTAAAGTGACACTAAACTATAGCCTATTTAGCCCTCCTAGCTGTTATCTGGGACTACAAAATGATTAGCTTTTATGTTGGGGGTAGGTGGATCTGAGTAATTTAGAAAAAGAAAAAATTAGAAAAGCTGATACCACTAGTCCACAAAACTGTTGCGTTTTGCTGGCCCACAATAAAACTTAAGGTGGCCTGTACATGCTTCAATTTTAGTAAAAAAAAAAAAAAACAAAAGCAAATCTTTCTTTCCAATCAATTTAGATCAGAAATGATCAAATCGAGTCAAATCGGTCAGGGCAGAAAATTATTGATTGTGTTACATTCATTCAAACATGAAGAAACACTGCTCAGGTGAGTGAAATGGCCAGTCCCAAAGCCTATCCCACTGACAGGTGCTGGCCCAGCTCGCCACCATGCTGAATTGTGAAGAAAGGGAAGGAAGGCCGCACTCCGCAAAGGGATAACGAAGATAAAATGTCTATTCCAGATGACAGTAAACAGGATACAGGGAAATGATAGATCGGTTTCACACGATTTCAGTGCTTCTTCATAACCAGAAGCTAATGGCAAAACCACCACCTAAAAGACAAACACGCATAGGTTGTCACAACCTTTTTGATGTCTATACTATTATTATATGCAATATTTTTGATATGTAAAAATTTACACGTGCACTATCTTTTGTTTAGTATGTTTTTAAAGGTATATGATTTTTGTGATGCTTGTCAAGCAGGAGTTAATGGTGCTAATTTAGTTCCTCCCCTTGTCAGGTACATTTGCCTTTTAGGCCGTGGTTTTGCCATTACTGCCAGGTTATGAATAAGAACTGAGATTATGTGAAACCAGGCAACCATTTCCCTGTATCCTGTCATCTGGAATAAAGACATTTTATCTTCCGTATCCCTTTGCAGAGTGCGGCCATCCTTCCCTTTCTTAACCATTCAGAACGGTGTTGCATTGATGGTAGCACTGAAATGTTTAGTTTATTAATGCACTTGATCTGATTTATGAGTTTACTTGGTAAAAACAGATTAACTTGTATGTATCATATCAATCAAATCATCTGACAACTATAGATCCCTATCAAGTGCTTGCAGGGTCTTTAAAGGAATTAAATATCGGAAAATGTGCACGTATGGCAGAAAGATACTGCATATGTTTGTTTTTTTTTACTTAATTTGCTTAAACATGTTACAAGTATGTGTTTTCCTATGCCGATATCCAAGATATGTGTTCTCCACTCAGGAATCATGTATACAAAAAAAAAGTAGCATGTACCTTACTGTGGAAAAAAATTCACTTGCCTGACAGAAAATACGTATGGCCCCCATGATTAATCTTCAGCAACTGTATGTGTAGCGATAGCTACATATACTGTAGCAAAGAAGTGTAGCATGTAGTAGCAATAAGGTTAATGATCCCACAATGCTCCAAATAAGAGCTTGGCTGCTTTGCAGAATGGAGAGATAAGCATTTTACTGGCATTATGTCCTATTCGTATGCTCTGCACTATGCAGCTGTACAAGCATTCCCATGGAATTATTCCCACTGACTACTATATTTGAATGATGAGGCAAACAGCCACCCAGTGAGGAATTTCACATATTTGATTTTCATCTGGAAAAAAAATTGATGCACAAAAAAGCTTTCATCTGAGCCCATCTTTAAAGTAAACCATCTTAAGTGTAGAGGTGAGCAATGGTAAGCTCTTCTGAAGTTGTTGGTTGCCTGCGTGTCATGCAGATGCTTTTGCTTCAATACTACAGTTACTGAATGGAACAAGTATATGGATAAAGACTTCTGACAATCTGCACACTTTTCTGATCTACATTGGCTTAGTGGCAACGTATTGAAGATAAAGGAGCAGTATCACTAGGCAGCAAGCATTTAAAAGAGAGGTCAATAGTGGCAGCCTTCATACTTCCTTCAATAGGTTTATGTTAAGGCTGACAGTACATGGATATGCCATGTATTTGTTTAGGACACTCCATTAAGAAGCAAAGGAGCAGAATGCTACACAAAACTCTTTTGCAGATATCCCCTTCATCCAGGATCCAGGTGTAATTTCTGCCTTGTGACCAATACCTCTCAATGCAGTCCTATTCTTCTGTCCATCTTTCCTTTTCTCACTATGGGAGTATGAAAGGGAATGGGGGACAGAGCCTATTACTCTATGTGCACATGGCCTAAATGTTCAGGCTTTTTAAGCTTCCAGTTTAGGGTACATGTAGTTTAAACATATAGTGTCCACCATGGGGAGAAAAAAAAGTACAGTAGTAGTGTAGTTTCAATATGCAATGGTTGTATTAATGTCCAATCTGCAATTAAGGTAAATGTATATGGGCATGTCTGAAAAGCATTTTTTTAAGACTTTAGAGCACAATATCCAAAATGTGAACTGCAGCATAAGGAGCATTGCACACTGTACTTGCACTATTTGTTGCTTTTGCTAGGTCAGTGTGAATGTAACATGAATTCACTGTAAACACATTTTAAATGCAATGAAAGCTGCCCGCACACACACAAGCCCTAAGTGTTTGAGGACCAGACTTTGGAGACACTGCATTAGAGACAGCAAAACCATTTACTGTCAAAGTCAAGGTTATCTGAAATGAAATTCTCAAGTATAAACCAATAGGATCTGATAAAACAGCTGACTAAAGAGTTTTTTCTTTGAGAGCATCAATGACCTCAAAGTGCCAGTATATATTTAGACATGGTTCTCATGCAGTGAGTGGTACATGCACCCCAGGGGGTACTTCTGCTTCTTACTTTGTTCATCATTACAGTTCAGAGTTTTAGCAAAGTGTTTTGTACTTTAATAAAGCCAAGGTACAATCTACTAAAAGTAATGGCATATTAGATGCATTTGTTTATATACTGCATCTTTGTAACTAGTCCTTTGTCAGATATGTAGATTTTAAAAAACAAATGTAGAAAGCATCAGCGCAAAGCACTGAAAGGGCCTCACAGACTACACTGATATCAGTGATACAAATAGTAAAATATCTGATAAATGCACTTTAAAGGTGTATTGCAAACATACAAAACATATGTAGCGCTTGCCTGGCAAGTGTGTGAGCCAGCAGAAATATTTCTATAGGGAAACAAAATTTTTAACTAGATTTGGTCTTCTAAACCACAGGTACAGGACCAGTGTTTCAGGGGGGGGAGGGAAAAAAAAAAAGACATGCCTATTTAAATCTTTGCAAACTAATAAGCAATTCCATGAGTCTCAATCATGAAGACATCACATAACAGGAGTGGGCATCTACCAATATATTTATAATTCATTTACAGAGCCACTATCATCTCCTGCGTTGCATAATGTCTCATAATCAGACCACCATAATCCATTAGGCACACCATACATGTGCCTAGAGGTCCTGTATAGCTATTGCCTACACATTTTTTTTCCAGCATCTGTACAAATACAGTCATCTCAAGCTTACATGAGGCATGCTTAATCTTTCTGCTTAGACCTAGCCTACAGAGTGTGCTTGCTATACTTTTATGAGACTTAGATTCATAGCAGAAATACTATTGACTGGCTCACTTAGGACCTGCTACGGTATAAGTGCAAAGTTAGTGACCCCTCTAATGCAGGTCACATGCCCAGTGTGTTTGCACTGGATTGCAGGGTAAAAAAAATGCCATGTAGTCCAGTTGCACAGAACTGCATGTGAACTGCACAGCAGTTCAAAATGTGATTATGTTAAAGGGGGGCGATTCTTTTCTATACCCACTGTATTAATGAACTATAGAAACTGGTAAATAGCTTATTACCATGCATAATTATGACTGAATGCTGTGTATTCCACCATTATTCCTACAGTACTTCCTAAAATGATTACTTTATATAGGATACAAAGGCATGCTGTCACAGAAGCCATCACTCATCTGGCAGCCTCCAGTGGCTGTTATTTTCTTGGTTATCGTCTCTTTACTATGGCTGGAAGGTGGGTGACAGTCTATGGCAGTGGTGTCAAATTGGAGGCCCTCCAGCTGCTGCAAAACTAGAAGTCCCAACATGCCTCTACCTTTGGGAGTCATGCTTGTAACTGTCAATCTTGAAATGCCTCATGGGACTTGTAGTTTGGCAACAGCTGGAGGTTCGCCAGTTTGACACATGTGGTCTATGGCTTTGTTGACACATGGGGGGGCCTCTGTACTGGTGTCTCCTGGCAGTCAGTAGCAAAGTAAAAATCATAAACATAAAAAACTTGTAAATGGCAAAGTGCTCTTAAATCAAATGCTTTTGAAAAGAAATCCTTAACACTTGTTTTTGCAGGTCTGCTATGGTCGACCATTTTTTTTCTTCAGATCTTCTATATTTTAAATTTACACAAGTTCCAAAGACTCAAATGTCTGCTCGTTTTGGAAAAGGTTTCAGAAGTCTCCCACTCTTCAACTAGAAACATTTCCAGCATGCTTGAATGTACTTTCTCCACCCTAAGCAACAGAATTTCATCACGCAGAAACGCTTATTCTCCAATTTCTCAAACTTTTAACTACGAAGGAACC